GACGTGCGTTTGTCAGGTCAAATACTGATATTAGAAGAGAAGGCTTGGCTCATTCTAATTCATCCCAAGGGTGTTCTGTCGTATTGAATTCAGGACTCTGTGGCGGCCAGTCAAGTTCTTCCACACCAACCTTGCTCATTTATGTCTCTATGGACCTTGCTTTGTGCACTGGTGTGCAGTCATGTTGGAACAGGAGGGGCCATCGTTAAACTGTTCCCACAAAGTTGGGAGCATGAAATTGTCCAAAATGTGTTGGTCCAGTTTCACTGGAACTAAGAGGCAAGTCATGAAAAACAATTCCACACCATAATCCCTCTCCTAATAAACTTTACACTTGGTACAGTGGAGTCAGACGAGTACTTCTGGCCACCAACAAACCCAGGCTGACAGGTGCAGATGTGTGACTCAGAGAAGACGTCTCCACTGCTCTAGAGTCCAGTGCATCCGAAACTTTGCATTGCGCTTGGTGACGTCAGGCTTGGATGCAACTGCTCAACCATGGAAACCCATCCCATGAAGCTCTACGCGCTGTTCTTGACCTAATCAGAAGGCTATATAATCTTTGGAGGTCTGTAGTGATTGATTCTGCAGAAAGTTGCCGACCTCTGCCCACTCACTGCCTCAGCGTGCGATGACCCCGCTCTATAGCCTATCACTTTGTGGCTGAGTTGCTGTCATTCCCAACTGCTTTCACTTTGTTATAATACAACTAACAGTTGATTGTGGAATATTTAGTAGCAAGGAGATTTTATGAGTGGACCTGCTGCACAGGACTTCACTCGTGACAGCGAGCCTAGGTACTTGACCATGGAAGGGACAGGAAAACCTGAATTCAGTGATATGGATCAGTGAGTGAATACTTTTGGCAATACAGTATGTTCAAGATGGGAACAAAAACCACTTTGGTCATTATAGCTAATTACCAACTTTGTGAAAACTATAAGGTAACAGATTTTTTGTTTAAATAACAATTTAATTTAAAGTCTCTACACTGTGCATGATCTATAGTAGGTCAGCTTTGATTGGCAGGTTGGCTGCTAGCTGACTGCTAGCTGTTTGGTACCTTTAGGAACATTTTCAGTGCAGCAATCTGAGAAATAATTGCTGCATGGTTCATTATAATCTAAAAAAGTTTACAAGTGTTAGTGAAATTCTTTTACTATATTGGTACGTTATTGATGCTCATTAGCAGATTTGTATATTTGTTTGATACACCTCTGGGCACACCTTGCTAATAAAGCACTTCATGTTTTTGTCCAATGGGCTGCTTTGAAAAAGTGTAATCAGACAAATAAGTGAAAGCATGTGTAAGGATGTAATAAAAAA